CATACCTACTAAATTAGCTACAAATCTTTCAATGAGTTTGGCAGATTCTTCTTCAAGGAAACAAGTAAGTATTTCTGAATTATATTTCAATTAGATATACTTCTCTGAGGCTTATTTTCTTTATGGCTACTAGGCTTTTCAATGGTTTTTGTCAATGATAGCTTTTCCATAGTTATATTTTACTTATATATATGTAATATCCTCTGGTATATGAATGGATTTTTTTAGCTGCTTCCTAAGTTTGACATTATAGGAACTTGTTCCTCAATTGGAGGCTCTGTGAAAAAAATTTTAATTCCTAATTTTCTTCCTGTTATACCCAGGGATTTGTTGTCGTGGAGACAAATTTCAGGATGTATGCTTATTCTTCTTCCAGACTACATTGTGAAATATTACGTCTTTTTTCAAGGTACATGTTTAATGCTGTATTACATTGTATAACCAGTGTTGAAGAAGAATAAGTTCAAGTAAGCTTTACTAAACTGATTGCCTACTGGATACATTTAATATTGTCATCAAAAGATTTACTTTTTCTTCTTCTTGAATGCTAAAAATATTTTAATTCCCCACCCCTGATAGACTTATATTGAAACTTGAAAGTTCACATATGTTAGGAGGAAGAAAGAGGGCCATGCTGATGGGTAACTTAGTCATTAGCACAGCATCTTGAGAGTGCAAGCGACTAGTGATAGATTCTGTTAGGTTAGTGGGGCTGATTAATCATTTGAATACTAATACATAATTTATAGAGTGTATTTGTATAATAATAATTTATCTTCTACGTTTACGGCAAATATTTACAACAGATTTGTTTTATTGTAAAATGATTTTTTTTTCTTTTTAAATTTTATTCTTACCAGAACCACTTGTAGTTTACTTTGATCAAATAGGGATGTGATTCAACATTCTACATTTTACATACTGCATAATTAAGTTGTATACAGTTATTACCTTTTGTGCTGTAAAGCAATCTGATCACATCGTCAATTTTTTATCTGGTTCAAGAATTGTAAAACAAAGCAAAACTGTCCTGCAGGATTGAGTATCAACTTCCAAATCTTATAGTTGGAGCAATAACGAAAGAAAGCTTGTATAATGCTTTTAAGAACGGAATTACGGCAGAGCAGGCAAGTTTTGCTGTTTGTTGACCCTTCAACATACTATTATGAAGTAAGGGTATCATTATATTATATTCAAATTGCCAATGGCGCTTCGTTAGGTCATGATATCTTGAGCTCTTAGCATATTGTTAATTCTTTGCTGGTGGTGGTGGAATATTTAGAGAGTCGTCTCTATTTCTAATGAACTTTGTTCGTACAGGCCACTATAATTCTGCACTAATAGTAGCAAACAAAACAGTGCCAAGCCCATCATTATTGGCCCGCCACAAAGGACTTAACTATTTAAATCACTACTTAACCCAAAAATTTACGTAGATGGGTTTTCGTAAATTCAATATTCGATTAGTTCTTTAGTACTCCCTAAATTTGTGGACTTGAAACTTCGTACAAGTCCTTACAGGTGGTTATCAATATTAATGGGGAGGAAAGAACATTACGAAATTCGAACATAGGACTTCATGCTTTGATATCATGTTAAATCACCACGTTAACCCAAAAACTTAAGCTGGTTGTGGTAAATTTAATCTTTTATCAAATACTTTCGCAACATTGGCTCTAAATCCATGAGAAACAATATATCTATTTTTCTTGTGCGTATCAATCAAAGTTCTCTCATAAATATAATGTAAACTCGAATATCTCTTTCAGTCTTAAAACTAGCAGCACATAGGTATTCAATACATTAAACACAGTACTGTTACATTTCTATGTTGGTTTTCTCATATCAAATTGCTTGATATCTGATTGTTGATTTGCAGATAGTTACTTTTCTGCAGCAGAATGCACATCCTCGTGTTGCAGAGAGAATACCATCAGTCCCTGAAAATGTCACGGATCAGGTTTGGGTTGCTTTATATGCACCTTGATGTTTGGCTACCCAATAGTTCCTATCTGCAAGTCACCCCTGCTTCGCATGGAAACCGAAAAATTCTATTCATCATATTTTGATCAGACATTTGTATAAAAAAATATTTCCTATTCCTGATTTGTTCCACCGCTCTCTGTTCCTTGACAGATTAGGCTATGGGAATCAGATCTTAATAGGGTCGATATTACTCCCGCACATTTTTACGACGAATTCCCTTCCAGGGTACAAATTTCAAATGTTGCATCACTTAGCTTTGAAGATTACTTGTACATTCATCTCTTAGCTGAGAAGGAACTTCTTTGGCATGCCAGGAAGTTTTCGAGGCTGCTTGTGACTACGCCCGAGAATGGAACGGGTTGCTATGGGAGGACTCGAAAAACATGCGGCTCGTAGTGAAGGCGGACGTACACACACATATGCGGGAACATCTTCGTCGTCAAAAATAGATGATATATAAATGCTGCAAGATCTGCATATAACCATGGCCTCTGGAACTTCAGTTTTTGTTGCTTAAAGTGGGCATGGGCTAAAAGATCTACTTCATATATGGGAATGGTGAAGAACGCAGTGTGAGAATTGTTGTATGGGAGAGAAGAAAATTGTGCCATTGAGTTCATTAGTGTACGTTTTTCCAAAGTCAATTTTCCTCTCTACCATGTGGAAGTTTGGTTAGGTTGATTTCCCTTCATTGGGACAACTTTTGGAAAAGAAAAAAATATATATATTCAATGAGGTGGCAGAAAAATTATCCAATGCCTCTAGCAACCATTCGATATAGGTTTAAAATACCATTTCTAAAATTTTTCCTTCTACATCAATCACATTGTTCTAACTCCTTAGAATATCTTTTTTCAATTTTTCGACATAATTTCATTTTATGATTGGCTTTCAGTTGAAGATTTTAAGTTTGAGAAAATATTGATGTCTCAATTTATAAAATTGATAAAATATCAAATTGATGAATGATAACGGAGCAAAGAAGTTATAAAAGTATTTAAATTAAGAAATAATTATTTCATACTTTTTGATAAATGTATATATAATATTTCGTGACTATTTCTTTATAAAAATGGATTAAACTATGATCAGAAAATAAAAAAGAGTGATTGGGAATAATTTTCTTTTCCAATTGTTTTGGCATAATTTCATTTTATAATCGACTTTCAATTAGGATTTTAAGTGAAAAAAATATTGACCATTTAAATTAAGAAAGAATTATTTTACACTTTTGAAATAAATTAGAAATCTATATGTATATTTGGTGACTATTTCTAAAAAGATATTGAATTAACGACTGATGGAGAGAAAGTAAAAAATAAAAGGATAATGTTGCTGCCCAGGATCGAACTGGGGACCTTTAGTGTGTAAGACTAACGTGATAACCACTACACCACAGCAACTGGACGTAAGTTAATTTATTACATAATAATTAAATGTACAATCATATCCTGATTTCTTACCACTGATTTAGCTTTCTTTGCTTTTCTCTTCATACGACTAAAAATGGGCCAATTTTAGTGTCCATAGTATACATATAAATGACTTGACTTGCCTCCATGACTTGTATCGCTCCAAACCATTGTAATATTCTGGGGAAATCATGGTGCTCACTGTAATTTGAAGACATAATGTTATGAAATGAAGTGTTCCTCCTCCAACAAATGTGGAAAGCATCAGACAAGCCAAAGATTTCCAGCCCCAGAGGCAGACCATGGCCACACCAAGAGCTATCTGAATGGTGAAAGTTTATGAACTCTCAGAAGCCCGGAGCATAGAAGAAGAATTGGAACATGACCCATATGACTTTCGAGAACAAATTCATCACTATACGAGTTCGGCTCCGAACATCCACGTCGACGCCGTCTCCCTCTTGGAAGCGATGGTGTTCAAGAGGATATTTTTGAAAAGCCAGACATGGGCACACCAATGGGAAGATGAAATGGATTGGCTGAGGAGAAAGCCAAATCTATTGTAACTGACATTCCCTTCCAATTTGAAAATGAAAGACATCAATTTGAAAAATGAGTGATAGAGTTGAGTTTTAAGTTGTTCGATGGATGAAGACCATCTTACCTACGGTGATACTTTCCTTTCAAATGATGATATTTGATAAATGCGACCAACCCAGACCGCCACCTCAGATCTATCTAATTGTCTCATATCATTTCAGCCTAATCTATCTACCAGTTCAAAGATATCTTGAGGAGATGAGCATTCACAAAATTATGATAAGTGTTTTAGCATTTTTCAATGGTAACTAACTATCCCTTCTTGTATTTTCCTTTTAATATTTTCCAATTACATGTCTTTTTTTTTTTTCTCTCTCTTTATGAAATCTTGATACTTATGGTAAACCATCTGCCCAAAAGAATGAAGATTAAAATCATTCCATTTTTAAAATATTACATCACAATTCTAAAAAAAATATTTAGAAAACATATTATAACACAAATGCATTTATTTTTAACCTATGATCACTTTTGTTACCATTCATTAATATTGTTTGTTTAGCACAGGTTGACAAACATAATTATATAAAAACTTCGCGATAATAAAATCTTATTTAGATAGTATGATTCTTACAAAAATAAAAAGAAAAAAAGCACCACTGCCTCAAAAGGAGAAAAAGGGAAAACGGTGTGCCCTCAATCAAAACACAAGAATATATAAAATGTCTATGCCTTTAAAAAATGTGCCACTCCAACAGTCAATTCATCCTCGATTGCACATCATCATATCTTAGAATAGACTCATTTTCATCACATAATTATTAAAAGGAAAAAAAAACAAAGCAAATCACTCACTTTACCATTTTAATCCCTCAAATCTCAAATTAATTTTAAAAATCAAAGATATTTTAAAAAGGTAAAAATCTAATCCATAATTTGACATGATGTTGAAGAAAAGTGGTTCGATTTTCATCACAATCATTATACTCATAACTTCCACCAACTTCTGTCATCATCACATGGCTTGTTTTTGTTATTAATAATTTTGTGATGAAAATGAAAGATCAGAAACAGAGATCTTTTACCCAACTTGCAAAATGAAAACAAAGCATTTCATAGATAACATCAAGAATGTACAAACATATACAAATGTGTTAAATACAATTTTTTTTTCATGGAAGACTTCAAATCAAACTATATATCAACTTCACCACCCCACACCAGTCATACAATAACTCACAGACTGGTTTTTTTTCACTCAGAAATGGAAGTGGGAAGAAACAGCTGCTGGTCTTCTCTAACATTTTAACTATTTTTTTTTAGCCGAATGAATTTCAGTCCTTCTGTCATGTCATATCATCCCAAAAGGACTCTTCATTTGGAGAAAAAAAAAACTACTTAAATAGTGACATTAGATTTACTGTATGTACCGATCGCTTATCTTAGGTGCGTATCGTAGGCGTCGAAAAGGGAATCTGGAACAACCAGAGGCAGTTTCTCTATGTACATGAAAAGCCTTCTGAGATTCTCTCGTGACACTGTCGCCATGTCCACGATGTCCCTGTTATCAGTGAATACCCAGAGATCGCCAGAGTTTACTCTCTTGAGACTGTCACGACAGAATGGGCAAGACTGTGAACGTGTTCTCCTGAAAAGTACATTCAATTGAGGTTGGCATGATGTATCAAGAAGTTAAATAAGAATGCAGTCAGAGAAAAATCCAACAGAAGCCTCATTGATATCGAACAAGAGCTAAGTCTATAATCTATCAGGTCCTTAGAATGCAGTTCTAAGGCATCGGGCAGTTGAGAACCTTTAACTACGGCCTTTATAGTTGATTAAAAATGACTAATGCCATCGAGAAGTAGATAATTTACAATAATAATCAGTTTGTAGAAAACTAACAATTCAGCGGCAAAGCATTGTATAAGATTAATGCGTATTTTTATTCCTAATACATAAAGGAATCGACATGCCAAACCACGAGCACAGCTTGAAACACCCTATCTAATCACAAGTCAATTATTCATTACAATTAGCTACCAAAACAGAGAGAAGGAATCAAAGAATGTCCAGGATTGAATCCAAGAAAGAATAAATCGCATCGACAATATTTCTGGTAAGTTATAAAGCAAAGGATATCAGACAATTAATTGCCCTGATCTAGCACATCAAAAGAAACATCATGATGCATCCATCCAATTCACTAGAGATGAACAGAAGGCTTCAGACACAGCAGTTTTTGTAATTAATGAAGACAAGAAAATATAAGGGTGTATAGGGAAATTTTGATAGAGCCTCTGTAGATTGCCTCAAGAATCCATAATTTATACCTTATAGTGCCATAAGTGATATAGAATACTGAAAGAGGAGAACAAAAGAGATGTGAGTACCATTCACGGTAACATTTCAAGCACAAGGCATGGTTGCAGTTGGGCAACACAACCTTACTAGTAGTCTCCATGCATATTCCACATTCTTCTTCTCGTTCAATGTCCGCATCTGAACACTGTATATGTTCATCGTCGTCTCTTCTTCGGTATCTTTCCATGCAGACTGCCTTCTGCTTTTTATCCTCAGTATCGGTAACACCTCTCTCAAGTTGCAATAGAGAGGGGTAAATAACAGCTGACCACAGCACAATTACAGAGATCAGTTATCAAAAAGTATAGATACATCAAACAATTAAAACTCATGGTCTATTATGGAAAAATCAGAACTTGAATACTACCATAGAATTCCCTGATGCTTGCTTTTCTCTCGTGGGTGGACATCGTGGTCGTGCCATCCACGTACACCTGAAGCACAAGGCACATGATGAATTTAGCAACTCTGACTGGATATAAAATGGATTTCAGTGATGATTACAAAATCTAATGCCATGAAGTGACAAACTTGACCTTGTAAATTAAAATCCTCAGCAGTCCCAGGGCTCCTGCAAGATGGCAGTCTGTCCACTGCACTAGGAATAGGAACAAGTGAGCAGCAGGACTATATGACATTCTCATCTGAAGGCAGGCGCCATCATATTCCCTTGGAAAATCCGACGCCCTACAACTCAGGAATAATTAGAACATTAAGTTGACATATCTGATACAGAACCAGCAATCTTGAGAATCTCTTAGTATAGCAAGGAATTGTTAGCATACAAACATTTCAACTTTTTAATTTATCTGTCAATTTTCATAACCTGGGCACAGAGCATGATGTACAATATAAAAACTACGACCCATTGGACCCATTGGATCGTGTCTTTTTTCTGTTTTCCTTTTCTTAAAAGGAAAGAATCATATTTCTCATAATTTATAATTTTTTTCCTACTAGATTTGGTATTATTAAATTAAAAAGATAGTATACCTTTTTTTTGGGATAGGAAACAAAAAAAGATAGTATACCTTGTATAATAATTAGGAAAAATGGAGAAGGAAGGTATTATCACATTACTAAATAGAAATGCAGCTTCTGGAATAAATATAAAAAATGAAAAACGTTATAGAAAAGCACTAGCATCTCGAGAGCTAGAAACAAGATTAAATGGGCTCCAAAGTACTCTCCCAGAGAAGCTGCCATATTATCTTAAATTTCTGTTTTACAGGCAGAGGAAAAGTAAGTGAATAATCTCATTGGGCGACACCACAGCTAGGTGACATGCCTAAAATCATACAGAACAGAGAGAGCAAAGGACTCCGGGAAATGAAGGCAAGAAGTAACAAAAGCACAGAAAAGATTAAGGGATTAGCAGAATCGGCTGAAGATCATAGCAAACTTGAGAGTTGAAATAGTGATACTGCAAAAATAAGCATTCCATTGAGAGAACCATAACAACATTCGAGTAGTAGGTGACAGCTATACAAAGAATCAGCTTCCCGAGTTTGAAAATATGTCAATCATTATTCATAATCTATACAACAGAGAGATGCAGATGGCACAAGAAAGCCCTGAAACCCAAGAACATTCATGAAAATGATGACAAAATTTATCGATGTGGAGTAAGAACGAAATGAACATTGATAAAATGACTCAACGGTTACACACTAAAACAAGAGGTAAAAATTGATTGAACGAGTAAATCATTTCCCTTCCAAGAAGTAGAGCTACAAAACAGAGAAGCGAAATTTGTCTCTATCTCTAGACAGAAACCATCATTGAAAAATCAATTACTTAAAATGAGTCAGCCCAGCTCCAAACATGGCAGGTAAACAACGATCACGTTCCAGAAAATCATTAATTGACGAAGATTACACATTATAAAAAACAAACCCGTAAACAGCAACTTTAAGAACCAGAATACT